GAATATGCTGTAGGCCAGCTGCCATCCTGGTAACAGAAAATGCTGCAGGTGCCACCCACTGAGCTGCGGTACCCTGTGGGGAATAGAACTCAAATTTATCAGATTTATGAAACTGAGAAGTTAGTGTTTCTCTTGTGAGAAATGGAGGCTGGGGTGCCACTTGGCCACCACCATTCTTAAATATACGAAAAAACAAAAATAATCTCAGGTATGGAACATTGGCACATTGCTCACTGGCAAAATAAAACCCATTGGTTAGCCAGTCTCAGTGCAAGAGGCTAAATAATATTCTATGTATTAATGGTATCAATGGTAAAGCTGCCGTTAGAACTCAACAATCTTGGATTTAAAGGTATTGGTTTTACCACTGTTCTAAATTAACCAGAATTTCCCTGGTTTCGGTACAGGGAACTATCATTCAAAAGATAATTGATCCATGCTTGATTTTCATTAGGTATCCCCAATTTTCCCCCCTTTTATGTGATTTGAGGAGTGACTTGCAATCGTTTTAGCAAAAGAACATTATGAGGTTTACATGTGCACAGCTCTACACTAAATTAATTCCTCAAGGGCAATTTAATCACATTTCTAACCAGTGTCAAGCACTATTCCAAGCCACATAATACAGACTATCCTAATATTTGATAAATGAATAAATAGGTCCTTTTGCTCCCTTAGAACCAGAAAAGAGTACTTGACTAAACTGAAGTGTGTGTCGCGATTTATGTACCTAATTCATGAGTTTGGGGGAAAAGAAATTGAAGAATCATATTCTCCCAGAAAAGCAGGAGTATGACTCTATGATGATAAACAAATGTTAGTTACAGCTAGCTATAAAATTAATAATCTAAGCAAGGATTCATAGCCTTTCCATGTTAAACAGGAAGGTCGAGAAATGGTGCAAGTCATATTGCCAGATCACTTCATAATAGAACATGTATCGAATTCAAATTAAATCCATACTTTACCTATACCATCTCTCAATTTTTATGTATTACCTTCCGCCATTTCTCGAGTCACTGTTATGTCAAATACAGTTGCCTTCTGTCACCACATTGCTACTTGCACTTCAGAATATCTTTGTTCACCTACTGTTCTAAAGTTTCAAGGATGCTCACCAGTAAAGACATCAGATGATCAGGTTTGCTCAGTTAGCCCTGGATTCCTCTTTCTGCCTATAATTACAGGAAGGCTAACATAAGTGAAAGGAACCTTCCAACAGTGGGATCACAGTTTGATTACCGACCTTTATATCTAATAGGTCACGTTTAATCACATGGTTATGAAATCCAAATCAGGAATGGATAGCTGTCTATCTCCTGTAGTTTGAGCACTCTTGGGACTTACCCTCTCCAATCTTTGTGGCTCACTCCCTCCAGGAAGCCGCAAATCATCCCATGATAATTTGAAGACTTTTCAGTTTTTGAGAGTGGAAAGTTTTGAAAGGGTAAACTTTTATGGGAAAACAGTTAAGTACACATTCATGTATAACCCCATGGATTAGAGCATTGATACCTACATTGATACCATCTAGACCAAGACTAGATTTTTCTTAAGCACAGTCTATACCAGATACCACTTTTAAATAAGCAGATGATCTTGTGGTTCTGCTATTCCCCGAATAGCTCCAGCTTATTGTCAAAGCATAATTATTAAAAATACGCCTTTCACTCTCAAAAGTATTGTCCTAGTACGGATGATAAATTATATGGTTACATTATAAATAAAGGTGTCCAGATAATGAAGAATAGAAGAGTAATTTGGAAGTCAAAGTCATAGGGACACATTGGGAATCAGGTCAACCTGAAGACCCATTCCAACACTGGTGACAGTTATGGGGAAAATTGTATGTGTTGGGACGGTGGGGGTGTTCAGTATACAGAATTAGGCAGTTACTGTGTGAGGAAAATGTCCTACTACAAGATTTAATTAAGAAAAAAATCCTGATAGTAGTCAAGCTAATCAATGGGACTTGAGTTTTAAATAGGTGGTAAATGGATGTAGCTTCCAGAGCACATAGACAATAACTAGGCAATTTCTTCTTTTTTCTCTTTTTTGAAACAGAGTCTAGCCTGGTTGTTCAGGCTGGAGTGCAGTGGTGTGATCATAGTTCATGGCAGCTTTGAACTCTAGAGCTCAAGAGATCCTCCTGCCTCAACCTTCTGAGTTACTGGGACTACAGGTGAATGCCATCACACCTAGTGTGAAATATTTAATTTTTATTGGGGGGGGGTCTCACTGTATTGCCCAGGCTGGTCTGAAGCCCCTGGCCTCACGCAATCCTCCTGCCTTTGCCTCCCAAAATGCGTGAGTCGCCATGCCTGGCTTTCAGCTACTTTTTCTAAGAATCATTTCTGCAGATCAACTGTGTATATTTTTTCAATCTGTCACCCTGCAGTTACTTTGAACGTAATTTCTAATTTAAATTTTTAAGGAAAAGAAGATGAAGGTATGGGGATAGAAGAAAGAAGTCTCTGACAACACCCTGCAGTATTAATGGGTAAGTGCTTCTGAATCATGAATGACTCCATTCCCGAGAAACTAAAATTCCTCTTTGAAAATGTAAATATACTTTGTGAGAAGCAGACATGGAAATTACCAACACGCTGAACAACAACAAAGGGTGAGAAGGTCCTTCCAGTTCCTCTTCTTTCTCTCTCCAAATAGATAATACAAATAGTCATAAAATTCAGAGATACTGTAATTTTGTCTTGCAATTTTTTTTTTTTTTTTTTTTTGGTTCCTTCACGTGGAGGCTTCGATGTCCTGGGCACGCTTCCACCCTCTTTTATCATAGCCAGAGGATCCATGAAAAATTCAGTTTGCTGTGAGGCACGTGCCAATGTAAAGTGTGTCAGGGTGCTCGGCTGGCCTGTGCCGAGGTTTTAGTCAGTGCTTCATTTCTTTGTCTGTTGAAAAGTAAGGTGGAAAATGGCAGAAGAAACTGACCTGATTTGCCGTATGTCCCTTATAGCTTAGGCTGGCCATTAAGCCTTTTGCTTTTCTGGATAGTTAATAGTAGCTGGATTGTGAGTTTGAGTAAGGGTCAGATGAGTCAACTGGTTCAGCTTCCTGTTTTCCATATATAGCATCCCGTTTTTCTCCTGCTAGGCCCCGCAGCATTGCCTCTCCTGGGCGTGAGCATTCCTTGCCAGTGTTCAGATACTGAACATTTTTAACAGCCTGGCGGGAACTGTGTTTTTAGGCAGCTCTTTGCAAACACTGAGTTTCTTCAGCTGTAGAAGGGAATGTGCCTTCCCAAATAAGAATAAAGAATATGCCAAATATAAGCAGTTGAATAGCACTGGAGTTATTTTTAGGAACCAAGATCACTCAGTACAGGAAATGATGGTGTTACCATCAGTGGGGTTCTAGCTAGTGACTATCAAACAACATTATTTCTTTCCTCATTTCACTGTTTTGAGCATCTTGAGAAAAGTTAGCAGTTGTAATCTGGAATTAGAAACAGCTTAACTTTAGTTCAGATTCATTAGGGAGTAGGAAGAATACCTTTCCCTAGAAAAGGTATGTGTGGTAAGTAAGAACCCCTCTCTGAACCCCACCCACCACCAATGGATCCCCATAACAGTTCTAAGGCAGAGTTCTTGCCCCACAGAGTTCTTGCCTCCTGGCTATGAATGGGAGACCGTGAACGCCCTAAAATTGTAGGCAGAATTTCATTTATACATAACCATCTGTGCTATTCTGGTTTTAATGTGATCTTAACCCCTAAACATTAAGAATCACTATTTTAATCACAGATAGGATCAGTTCCTTTCATAGTCTAAGTGGCTAAACAAATGTCTTTTTTGTTGCCCTAGAATTTTGAGTTGAGTATGGATTAGTCTTATCTAAAACAATTTTTGAAACATGAGATAGTTCTTCCAAATATTTAGTTATGATTTTCACTGCATGTCATTTGACCTGTAGGAGATCGAACAAAAAAAGTAGAATCGCCCATGATCAAACGGCACGTTTAAAGAGGGTGTTGTGTTTACTTATCAAGGTAAAATATACTTCAGATAGAAACCAGAATTTTAAATTTTAAATTTCTGATTTCCATAGTAGGACTTACATGACTTTGATCTGTAAATATCACCATCTTATAAAACTGCTGTACATTTTAAAGTAGATTCAGTTCCATTATAAATACATCTTAATTGTATTTCCTAATATTTTCCCTACAGTGTTTAGAATAGTAAGTCCTGTGACACGTCTACTTTAAGATTTCTGCATGGCTGTCAGCTGATGTCATAGGCTATTCCCTCTAAGATTATAAAAATTCCCTACTTAGAACTGCTCATGGCTCTCAGTCGGGGAATGTTTTAGGTTGAAAAAATTTTGCCTTTTGTATTATTTTATTGTACTAGAATGAAATAATCATAGTCGGAAAAGTTTTCATGGCTTAGAACCTTAATATTTTTGTTTTCCTGACTCTTCATTTAACTAAGTTTATGCTGAAGTCCTCAATTATCATTCTCCTTTTATGATAAAGTAAATATTTCATTATTTATAATTGTCCAGTAGCTCCTACCTGCCTAAAATAGCAACTAAATGTTTTTTCTCCTACAGTCAGGACATGAGTTGCAGAAATGAAAGACTTCAATCGAAATTTCGTTAGTAAATGTTGCTGATGTGTGATATCTAATTCATAGGATAGAAAGATCTGAATTCTTACATTTACAAAATTATCCTCTGATTAAATAAATTCAAACACATCTATGGTATAATAGCATAATCAACTGTTTTAAATAAAAGTGAGTTAGACAAGTTAAACAAGATGTAGACCATATCATGGTACATAATCCCTATGTGACGTGGTATCAATGTCACTCACATTTTAGAGGCAAGGAAACTGAGACCAGAGAGGTTAAATTGTGTAACTGGTAAGTTACAGAACAGAGATTGGAACCCAGTTAATCTGACTCCAGAGTCCAGCCGTTTATTCACTGCACTTTCCTGTTGCAGATCTCTTATGTGATTTTGCAGAAACAGTGTCTGCCCTGTTCCAGCTCCACTGTGACGAGGCAGCCAAGTCTATAATGCTAGTGTTCAGGAATAAGAAGTCAGTCTCTCTGCAGAGGTAAGCCATGCTCTCCAACGTCAGCATTTCCAGTAATAATGTGTCATTTCATCCCTGTGTTACTCCTTGTCTATATCGTAATTGATGCAGAAGTAGGTGGGTAGCAGAGTGCCATTAGACTCTGCTATCATTTGGCAGTTTCGGCCCCCCAAACCTCATGTTGAAAGGTTGATTTGATCCCTAGTGTTAGAGGAGGGGCCTAAGGGGAGGTATTTGAATTGTGGGGGCAGATCCCTCACAAATGGCTTAGTACCACCCTGGAGGTAAATGAGTAAGTTCTTGCTCCATCTCTTCACGTGAGAGCCATGACAGCCAGTGGTTGAAAAGAACCTGGGACCGGCTCGGCGCCTGTGGCTCAAGCGGCTAAGGTGCCAGCCACATACACCTAAGATGGCGGGTTCAAATCCCCAGCC